TAGTAACAAGTGCCTTACTACTAGGAACAAGAAGCTAGTAGAAACAACAAGCTACTAGTAACAAGTGCATCTCTTCTAGTAACAAGTGCCTTACTACTAGGAACAAGAAGCTATATAGTAGAAACAAGAAGCTACTAGTAACAAGTGCCTTACTAGTAGGAACAAGAAGCTAGTAGAAACAAGAAGCTACTAGTAACAAGTGCATCGCTTCTAGTAACAAGTGCCTTACTACTAGGAACAAGAAGCTAGTAGAAACAAGAAGCTACTAGTAACAAGTGCATCGCTTCTAGTAACAATTGCCTTACTAGTAGAAACAATAACTATATAAGCTTCCTGTTACTACTAGTAAGGCACCTGTTACTACTAGCGTGGCACTTGTTACTAGTAGAAACAATAACTATATAAGCTTCTTGTTACTACTAGTAAGGCACCTGTTACTACTAGCGTGGCACTTGTTACTAGTAGAAACAAAGAATTAAGCTCTAGTCTTTTTTCAGCCCTCTTCGATCCTCCAATGTCGCAGGCCACGTACGGCGCACCGGCGAGAGCCCAGTTCAGCATCATCCCGGGAGTCTTCCTCAGGTCCTGGGACGAGGTTGAAAGAGAAGCTCAACGAACCTGCAAAGAAGGTCCCTGTCTGGCTAAGGATCCTCTTCCTGTAATGTTTAGAATGCCCTTGACGGTCCCAACTGAAAAGAACTGCAAAGATATATACACCATTTTCACTTAACTAAAGTCCAGGCAATAGTGCTCAGGTGCAGAAGTTCGTACATCAGTACACCCCCCCTCCCGGCCAGGTCCTCCCAAGTGGAACCGACATCGCCGGTCCAAACGCCGGTGCCCAAGCGTGCCATGCCAGGAGTGAAGGCGCGGTTCAGCGAAAAGAATCGATGCTCCTCTTGCGAAGAATAGAAGACTGGGAGCGTAAGCGAGAAAAACGAATGGACCAATGGGAGACTCGAGAGATGTTCCCCCAATGGCCCAATGGCCCAAATGGTATTTCAATGTGATCGTTTGAAAACGAATGGACTGTGGATGTGTGACAGAAATTCGACAGGCCGACGAGCCGTGTGCATTTGTTGGACATGAGACCAATTGGCCGGAAGTCTTGATCTCCGTCTGGACATTCCATGTTCGGAATGACTGTGTTATCAAGAGCTCTCGCGATGTTTGGCCAATATGGGCAACCCATCAATGCACGATGATGATCTTAAAAAGGAAAGAAAAGCACCATGTTCTCCAAGCAAACTGCCTCAGTCTCGAGCTGATGCTCTGCCAGATTCCATTCATGATAGGTGTAATAGAAGTTCTCTCCTTCCTTGGCGCGGTCAAGATGCACCGATCTCTCAGCTAGAGTCCACTCTAGAGTCTAGAGAGAGAGAGAGAGAGAGATCCTTGAGGAAACCCCCTGGATACCACAAGGCGCGGTGAAGGGGGAAAATCCCACTAAGGCTGCAGTAAGCTCGAAGTCATGTTTGTGTTAGTGTTACACGCATGTTCCATCGGATCTTTCTTCTGGTGGAGCTGCTCAGCATCAAATACATCATAAAGACGGGCGAAGTTCGGGTGAACGGGCCGAACATGAGTCTGACATGCAAAAGAAGTGGAGATGGGCTCGCCTGTACTGGATGTTCGCCCAGATCTACAAAGTTTGGGGATGTCCAGTGTGACCACAACCTCGGCCAGCGCCCTCCAAAAACACAAGATCCGCTGAGGGAAATTAAAACTAGATATTTCAGATCGGAGTCCGCCGGCCTGCCGGCGTGTTTTGTGGATTGTTTTGGTTAGTATTGTTGTGTTGGCTTCAATCTACGGTTTGTATCTCCGCGCGGATTTTTTGACAGCCTGACGCCCCCCCCCCCCTCCCTACGTCGAAGGTGATTCGACTGAGACATGTCGATCGCTGGATCAGAATAGACAACCATTGGACTGAGACATGTCGATCGCTGGATCGCTGGATCAGAATAGACAACCTCTGATTCGGATTCGTTCCATTTCATGGTCAAACAACCTTGAAATAAACATCAACAAACTCTCCCAGCAAAATGTGCAACTCCAATGCACCCACAAGTCTGATTGAGCAGGGTATTGTTGTTCGATGTCATTCTGGTTCTTTCATTTCAAACGGTTTGGAAAAAAAACGATCAATCATGCCAGATGTAGAAATTCGTCGGTCGCTTTGAAGCCTTCTGTGTGTGAAAAAGAATATCTGGTGCGTGTCGCAATCCCTCGAGACGGTCGAAAAAAAAGATCTGAAAAGGAAAACATGCAAACGGCCAAGTAGTTTGGAAGAAGAATCGTTTTCAAGGTCATGTTTTGTGGATAGTCTTGGTTCGCATTGCTTGTGTTGGTTTCAATTGGTTCCTCTTAGGTGATTCGACTGAGACATGCCGGTTCGGATCGCTGGATCAGAATAGGCTGGATCAGAATAGACAACCTCTGATTCGGATTCGTTCCATTTCATGGTCAAACAACCTTGAAATAAACATCAACAAACTCACCCAGCCAAATGTGCAACTCCAATGCACCAACAAGTACGATTGAGCAGGGTATTGTTGTTCGATGTCATTCTGGGTCTTTCCTTTCGAACGGTTTGGAGAAAAAAAACGACAAATCATGCCAGATCAAGAAATTCTTCGGTCGCTTTGAAGCCTTCTGTATGTGAAAAAGAATATCTTGTGCGACTCGCAATTCCTCAAGACGGTCGAAAAAAAGATCTGACAAGGAAAACATGGTTTTGTGGATTGTCTTGCTTCGTCTGGCTTGTGTTGGTTTCCATTGGTTTCAATCTACGGTTGGTTTCAATCTACAGTTTGTTTCTCCGCGCGGATGTTTCGACAGCCTGCCCTGCCCCGGTTGGTTTCAATCTACGGTTTGACTGTGAATCAGCATCATTAGGCGGCCTGCCAATGCGGGCTCGAGCTGGTGGCCGGCGGCATGCCGAAGGCTGTAAATATTCTGAATGGTTCGGCTGCAACCCCCCATACAGCAGTGCCCATCCGAAATGGACCACGGGTATTTGGAGACAAGGGTCATCGTTCCACCAGAAGGAGATGCCACTATCAACATAGTGCCTCGATGAAGGAGATGCCGCTTTCTGGTTTTGGATCCAAACACTGTCGGACAGCACGATGAAAAAAATCCCCAGAAGGTCCGTGAATCTTGGAGTGCCCAGTCAGCTGGATATATACATCTTGACCCGGTCCGTCCATGGATGGGGAAACAGCAAACCTGCTGTTTCGCGCTGAAGTTCAATCGTTTTGTTAGGCATCGAACAGGGCAACTTGGCAGAGTGAATTGAGCAAAGGTTGGGTCAATGTTCACGCACTGCTTCCCATCAACAAAAGCAGGAATTGCAACGAATATCGTCCCAAACAGCCACAAACAAGCACTCCAAACCAACCGTCTAAGCACTGGCTGTGAAAAGCATATCGGCAAGGAGCTGCATCTGTTGAGCGTACCACCTCTGCATCGTTGGGTCTGAGAACCGGAGCCAACGGCCTTTGGCATAAGTCTCGGGACCGCCTGAGCACAGGCAGCCGGCCGGCGGCCGGCCGGCCGCAGCACGACGCACCCACCATGCACTCAGTCCAAGATCATGCTCATCTGTTTCTTGCATCAAACGTTGCTCAGGATCCAAACATCCAAATATCAACTGCAACGAATAACATCTTAGGTCCTGTGTCACCTCAAACTGCAAACCACCTTGTGCTGTCCAACCCCTCAACCTGGCCAAACATGGCCAAACTCCCTGCATCTCATCCAGAAAGATGGATAGGAGTTCGGACATCGCGACACCGAAAGCCAACTCTATGGAGGGCCTACACATCCATGAGGGGTTTTCACCCTAAGCGTCCGCCTGCACATGTGAAGGGGCCCAAAATGAAGGAAGGAAAGGAAGAAAGAAATCCTGCGCCACCCAAACGGCAAATGCCCCTCACGCCAGCCACCCAGGTATGCATTGACATGTGTGCTTGTATCCCAAGTGGTGGTATTCAACCATTGGGACTCCCCCTACACCTCACATGCGCCTTCAGGTGCAATCCACTTTCTCTCCTTGGCCAAGTGCAGTAGCTGTCGGTTTCCCAGGCGGGGCTTTCGGATGCCAGCGACAAAAAGCTGCTGGTCCTCGGCACCACTGCCACGCCACGCGGAAGGATTGGGTGCCAGAGGGAAGGAAATGGAACAAAAAGTCAATGAGACCAACAAGCCGAAACCATCTGTGAAGATTTTGTCCCCCCTTTGGAGTCAGATGTCAATTCATCACCACAGCCTTTCCGACTCACTTCACAGACCAAGGTTCCAAGAGGTAGGTCTTCAGCTGCTGGGCCGGCGATGGGAAGAGCTCAGGGTTCCAGCCAAAGTCTTCGTACCACGCTTCGCCCTGCTCAGTAAAAGCATAGTCCGAACTGTTGGCGAACCATTCGAAGTCCAGGATCACCGAATCCTCAAAGAAACCGCACAGGAGAACACATCTGTCAGACTTGTATCCACTACGTACAACGTGAAAGGGTGGGAGAAGGTCTTTGCGGTACCACATCGAACACCCAAATCCCACCTTCCAAAAGTCACATGCAAGGTCGCTACTAGGAGCAAGGACGCTACTAGGGGCTCCTGGCCTTACTACTAGGAGCAAGAAGCTACTAGGAACAATAATTCAACAGAAATAGAATTAAAATTTCACCTTATGGCTGTCATCGGGGAGTGTCCCTCGCCGAGCATCCAGCGGGAAGTGTCCCTCGCGGAACCTTTGCACCGTTTCTTCCAAGTACCTGCGGCACGGTGGCCAACGGGCCACAAAAGAGAGCTATTAGGAACAAGTGCCACGCTAGTAGTAACAAGTACCACGCTACTAGTAACAAGTGCCACGCTACTAGTAACAGGAGTCCTATCAAAACTGTTTCACGTCTTCCCCCTTCCACAGTACAGAGTACATACACAGCAGCTTGTATTGTCACTTGCTGCTTCAAAGTTCAGCCCTCTTTCGAAGGTGTCAATATACACATATATAATGTGCGTTAGAATGGGGGTACCTGTCAAAACACCCGTCAAAACGCCTCTGATTCGGCCAGCCCCAGCGGCAGGCCATGAACCCGAAGGCGTGCCTGCAAGACCGATGCCATGGTCATGGCGAACCTCTCAAGCCTCTTTTTGGGCAGACCCTGAAGGTGAGAAAAAAAAACTCGAAAGACACGCACCTTTCCAAACCCACAATCATAGTAGCAAAATTGGCAATAGTGGCTGCCCCCTCTCCTGATGGCGTGTACAACAATCCATGACCCAGCCTGGGCGGCACTGGTGGTCTCCCAGTCAGGGCATAGTAGGCCTTCGTGCCTGCACTGTGAGCGGCTGCCACAGCTATGGGGCTTCCAAGCTTGCTGAATCAGAGTTAGCTAGATCCGTCGAAGAAGAACCTGCCTCTTAGATCCGCAGTTGTAGGCATCGTTGACGGCGTTTTTCGGGATCCAGAATGGCACGCTGAGAAGGTACGCTTCAAATGTTTCAGCTACCTGTAAGGAAACCTCATAGTGATCATGCCTTTGCAAATGAACCGGGCAGCCCAAGGTTTTATCCCCACGCACTGTTCAAGTACACCGAATGAACATCTTCAAGTGGAGAGCATGCTAGGCAGGGGCAGCTCAACAAACCATTGGGGAATGCAAGAAGTTCTGGACTTCTGGCGGTCCACTTCAAGGTCCAGTTGCTCCATTCTTCAAATCTCCAATCTCCGTCAACCACCCCTTCCGTCCGCTGGGCCTTCAGCCAAGCTGGGAGCCAACATGAAGTGCAACTGGAAGGCACCCTCGAAGGCCCAGGCAATGCGGCCCTGCTCCGGAAAGGACTGGTACCTCACAGGGCCCCAAAACCAGGGCAGGCCAAGGCCAGTGTGGGAAAAAACTCCTAGAAGCTTCTTGTTCCTAGTAGTAAGGCCAGGAGCCCCTAGTAGCGTCCTTGTTCCTAGTAGCGATGCCAGGAGCCCCTACTAGCGTCCTCTACCTGTTATGCACAAGGTTTTGCTCATGCTTGGTTTCTGTCTGGAGCATCTGAGTGACATGAAAGGGACATACCCGGCATGGCCTCACGGCCATCATGTTGAAGTGTGTGACGTTGCTGTGCCCCAACACCGCGTAGCCATCGCGACTGTAGAAATATGGAACGTAAGTCGCGCGGTTGGCCTGCAGAAACGTGTTGGAAGTGGGCAGTGCTGCAAAAACTACTCCGTCTTGGTTCAATCTATAGCAAGAATTGCAAGTGATTGCTACGCGTCTGCAACATCCTGGTTCTGGTCTCACGAGTTTGGATTGACTATCCAGGCATTGTCCGATCATCCCTTGAAAAGTCACCCGAGTGCCAAGCAGTAAGAACCAACCCCACAATTTGCCGGCACTGGCATACACAGAACCTAACATCACTCATCCACCCTCCATCAACGTCCCATGTCCATCCTCTCTCGCCAGGCGGCCAGCGACACCGCCGATCCCTCCGCCAGCAGCATCTCGGCATCGGCCGGCCCAGCACCACGGCCGTAGAGTCCTCTTGTGGAACTGTTGAAGATTATCAAGCCAGGCCTCCCAGGAGTTCTTCCAACGATTTGTCCCTTGCGAGAAATCTCATGAGGCTTATCGACTCATGATGGAAGTTGCTTGAATGGCCGAAACAAGAGGAACAAGTAGGAACAATGTTCGCTACGAACGGGCTCCTGGCATCGCTACGAACGGAGCGATCAGACGCTACGACCGGGGCTCCTGGCCTTACTACTAGGAACAAGAAGCTACTAGGAACAAAAGGCATCGCTACTAGCAGCAAGGACGCTACGAACGGGGCTCCTAACCTTACTACTAGAAACAAGAAGCTACTAGGAACAAAGGGCATCGCTACTAGGAGCAAGGACGCTATGAACGGGGCTCCTGGCCTTACCACTAGGAACAAGAAGCTATTAGGAACAAAGGGCATCGCTACTAGGAGCAAGGACGCTACGAACGGG